CATCCAGACCCTGGACCCTTAACCCTAAACCCTAAACCCTAAATCCTAAACCCTAAACCCTAAATCCTAAACCCAAAGCCCCCACCAGCCAGGGTGTGCCAGACCCATCCAGACCCTGGACCCTTAACCCTTAACCCTAAACCCTAAATCCTAAACCCTAAACCCTAAATCCTAAACCCAAAGCCCCCACCAGCCAGGGTGTGCCAGGTACATTTCGAGGGAACTGACAGTCCGGGCGCCTGGGCGGCGGAAGAGCATGGATGCGCGCTGCTACAACGCATGCGGCTGGGTTCTACGTGGTTTAGAGTTTATATAGGTTCTACTTGGTTTTGGGTTTAGGGTGTAGGTTCTACTTGGTTTTGGGTTTTGGGTTTAGGTTCTACTTTGTTTAGGGTTGAGGGTTTAGGTTCTACTTGGTTTAGGCTTTAGGGTTTAGGTTCTACTTGGTTAAGGGTCCAGGGTCTATAGCGTACGCAGCTGGCAGGGGTTCGACTTCTACAAGGGCTTTGTGGGATTCAACAGGATCGATCCTATAGCGTTTGTAGAAGGGTTTGGGGTTTAGGGTTTAGGGGTTTAGGGTTTAGGGTTTGTGGCCTTCATGCTTAGGAGTCTGGCGTGATATCATAGAGGTTATGTGATATCAAAGTGTTAAACTAGCAGAGATATGTGTGGATGTATGTGTGGGGTGTATCGGGTTGGTTAAACGGTTTTACAAGGTTTAGGGTTTAAGGTTTAGGGTTTAGCCTGTCTTTTCAATTGCCAAGATGCTTTCTTGCTTGTCGCACCTAAAACTAAAAGCCTTCACAAGAACCCAGGCAGAGGTCACGCCTCAACCTTCTAGGGAGGTCAGCGGACACCTTCTGCACCATGGTGGATCGCGCACTGGCCTCTGGGCAGTGCGACTATTCGATGCTTTGTGATGCATGGGGAACAGCGCTGGAGGAACACACCCACCTCTCCACACCCAAAGTTTCTAGGTGGCAATTGGGATATCGTTTGCAAATTTCCCCTTAGAGGGTTCATATATGCTACTACAATGGTCCCCCAAACCTGAACAAGGATGGTCTTTTGGGACCTAGTT